GGTGAAAACGTGCTAAGCTTTCGTCCGTCAAACGACGGACATCATCAGAGCGAGGTAACATCGTCACAACAAAATTCAGGCTTGCGAGTCAAGTCAACTCACCGAATCTTCCAGTAAAGCCAATCGACAGCTGGTCAAGAGGAATTCGCTGTCGTCTTCTGGTGGAACCGACCAAATCTTCCAGTAAAGCCAATCGACAGCTGGTCAAGAGGAATTCGCCGTCGTCTTCTGGTGGAACCGACCTCCGAATCTCTTCACCCAACACTTCCACTCGAAATGGAAGTAATCCCAACAATGTTGATCTTTTGTCTCTCCAATGCCAGTAAAGCCAATCGACAGCTGGTCAAGAGGAATTCGCCGTCGTCTTCTGGTGGAACCGACCTTCGAATCCTCGCGTCAGCATGAATCTTCCAGTAAAACCAATCGACAGCTGGTCAAGAGGAATCCGCCGTCGTCTTCTGGTGGAACCGACCTTCGAATCTCCTCAACCTAATCGACAGCTGGTCAAGAGGAATTCGCCGTCGTCTTCTGGTGGAACCGACCTTCGAATCTCTTCACCCAACAGCTGGTCAAGAGGAATTCGCCGTCGTCTTCTGGTGGAACCGACCTTCGAATCTCTTCACCCAACACTTTCACTCGAAATGGAAGTAATCCCAACAATTATGAAACAGGAGATTCCTCGAAACCCAACTTTTCTTCATGGCTTAACTCAAAATGGTAGTAATCCCATTAATTATGAAACAAGAGATTCCTCGAAACCTAACTTTCCTTCGTACATACTTACTAAGCCAAGTAAAAAGGTGGCTGGCTACGATCGTGATCACTTTATATAACCTATCATTTCAATTTTAATGATTTATCCTATGGTATAGTTGGCTATCTCAGATTAACTCTACATGCTTTATGATGCGTGATATTAAATTATGAGCAGGAAGTGAATTCACTGGCAGCTGTTCCACTAAATTAATAAGCTAGCGTCACAACCTCTAATATTTACTCAGGCTCAGGCATGCTTTTTTGCCTATCGTGTTTATATAATTTTTTTAACCTGAGAGACATAAAAATACTGGAAGCTTATCCAGCCTGCAATTGCTCAGTTGCTCTACCTATTCTCCCTAAGCCTTTACATAAGCCTATCCAACGGACATAAATTGTTGCTACGAAATTTCCAACCCTTTTGTTCCTCATATTATAGCTGTTAGCTATTTTGGTAATTTCTTTAGACTACTTAATCTTAATCTTTGACATTAATTTCACGTAACCAGCAAAACGTTTTTTTGTGAAAGAGCCTTCTAAGGATTCTGCTTAAGTCATGTGTTTGAAGAGCTGAGAATTTTGGATCCATCGACATATGCAAGCGGTTTGTTTCTTGATAAGCGCATCCATTTGGGTCGGCAGGTCCCCACAACAGATCAAATTATTGTAGCGGCCTGATCTAGAAAAAGAGTCAGAGACTTCTTGCAAAGAAAGCACGATTGAATAAAGTGTAAATTTCTCTTTATACAGTGTTCTGCTGCTCTCTTTCCTTAATAGCTCACCTAATCTTTCGCAAACCAACAGGAAGGCAAAATCAGTAGCCGAGTAGAATGGTCTATCTATCATGCCCCAAATAACATTCTTCCCTCATTTTGTTGCTGAGTATTAAAATGTAATTATTTATTAGTCTTAATGGGTGATTATTTTTACCATTACATGCCTTAATTTTCTGATTCCATGATCAGTGTGGTTTACATCTGTTATAAGAAAACTCCTTACTATCATTGGTTTCATAACTCAGAATTTAACCATATATATATATGATTGGATAAGAAATTCATAAGAAAGACCGCATATATGAGTTCCCTAAGCAAGTCTTCGACTAACTTATTACTTTATTTGCTCACGTATGCATCCAGAAGATGTAATCGATCTATGGAATTAATAACTGGAAAAGAGGCTGAACAGGATCCTACGGCCGAACCTCATGTTTGCTCACACTCGTCAAAGAGAAAAGTTCGTAGCTTGGTGCGGCGAATGGCAAAACTCACTGATGATGCAGACCACGATGCCGGCAACGTTTGAGAATGTATCAAGTCCACTGTCAAATGCTGGGAATCATGAAAACTACTATGGCAGACGACTTCGGACTAGGTGCGTTCTACATGGTCTCCCTGA